TTTTTTTAATAAATCACAATGTGTAATTATTTATCAATTATATAAACATTACATCATTAGTTATTTAATTAACCAAAAAATTACATCTTTATTAATAAAAATTTAATTCTTAACCAAAAAAATTATATATAAACTAACCAAACGTGCATTGCACGTTGTTTAAACCTAGTATGAATGAAAAGTATGAAAAAAGTTATATAGAGCATGTTTGGTAGAGTTTAAAATCCAATTAAAATTGAAAATATAGCCGTTATTGGGTCTCACTCGTTTAATAAAAGTCAACAATAACGGCTAATTTTTCAATTTTAATTCGATTTTAATCTCTACCGAACACGCCCATAATATACAATTTTAAAATAGTACAGACGGATAAAATGAAAAAAATTGTATCAAAAATATATATTTATATTTAATTATCATAAACTTCAAGATCGTATTTTTATGATAATCGAGAACTAATTATTCAAGACTAACATAAAGATGACTACAATATGCATAATTGATGGTATTTCCTTTCTCTCTTTTTTTTTAAATGAAATTTATTGCCATCGAATCATTGTATAAAAGTAGTTGTAAATTGTGATGTAAAAGATAGGATTTAATAGGTTTTCACATTATTGGAGGCAAAATTATTTAGGTAAATAAATCATTATAAAATTAGAAATAATGTGTATTCTAATAATCTTGGAATTGATCACCTAAATCCACGTTGGATTTGAAAATTTTGTAATTTTTCCAAAGGACATTTTTACAATTTTCAAGAAAAAATATTTTCTTTCTTTAGTCAAAGGAATTTAATAGATTTTTTTACAAAAAAAGTGCAAAAAGTTCACATAATGAAAATGAAATTTTTGTTGACTAGTTTATTTGTTTAGCTTCCACTCGATACAATTATGAATTTATAGTTTCAATTTTAATTTGATTTTTCTTTTTTTTTTTAAATTTTTTTTACTTATATTGTATTAACTAACGTTTGATTTTTGAACTCTGATTAAGCCCCTGTTTGTTTCCAGTGAAAAACAGAATTTGTACCGTTGCTTGTAATGGTGAGCCACAATATTTGACCATTTTGTTAGAACATGCAACAGCAGCCCATGTTCAACAGATTCTCCTCTCCAGCTCATGTCTAGCACATGCTTATCTCCAGCTCATCTCCAGATCCGTTTCAGCAGCTCCTTCTAGCTTCTTCTAGATTCTTCTTAGTTTGTTAGATTGCTAGAATTTACTCTATAAATAGAACATTGTATTCACCTTTACAATTGAGCATTTGATGAATAATAAATCTCCTTCTTCATCATGTTCTTTCAATGTGAATTTCATATTGAATTCTATCATTTAATTTTCTGTCTGCATTTTATTCTTCTGCTGCTATCTTTTCATTTTCTGGTTTCAGTTCTGCTGTAATTGCTGTTTCATATTTTCTGCTTGGTTCGTTTCCTGCTGGTTTTTAGTTTCTATTCATTTCAGCTTCGTTCCCTTTTATTTCTAGAAATATTTTATATTTTGTCACTGATATAAGACGGTATTAACAATTTTCCTCGATGGTCGCTACTTAACGCACGCCCCCCCAAGACGTCGACCCCCCGGGGGTCCTCTACGCTCACAGGGGCCGTCTACCACTATAAGGCTCGATGGTCGCTACTTAACGCATGCCCCTCCAAGACGTCGACCCCCCGGGGGTCCTCTACGCTCACAAGGGTCGTCTACCGCTATGAGGCCTACGACGTCGACCCCCACTATACTTAGCCAAAGAAATGGCCGTGAGATAAA